GGCACCCTGGTGCCCTGCTACACTATGCTTTGTGGTTGAGACAGGGTTGACTATGTAGTTTTAGTAACAGGTTAAACAAGGATTTGTATGGGATAGTTTGGATAGCTATGATTCTGCCTCTGCCCCGGGGGTTGTACTAGATGACCTGTAGAGGAGTCTTCCAGCCCTACTTTTCTATCATTTCATGATTCTGTAACATCAGGTAATAGTGGTGGCTCAATTTCTCCTGCTGACATTGTGGCTCACAAAAATTTAGTCTCCTGAGGGCTGAATTTATTTAGTATAACTCAAGCTATTGGGCTCTGTATAAAAAAAAATGGTGGAATCAAGTGGCTGGTAATATTTAAATCACACTCAATGATCCTTTGTAACCTTAAATTTTACAATGTCAAACCAGATAATCTAAATCCAAACTGGCCTCCTACTTTACAAATGCTTCAGTAGATGAAAAGAATTTTAGCTTACTGCTTAGCAACAGGTCAACATACACTGTCTTGTGCCCAAGTTTTGTGTCAAATATATTTCTTTAAATAGCTCTGTTATCAGTACTAGTCTCAAGAATGTGCATCTAAAATGGAGTTCTTATTTTTACTTTTCTTTGTGATTATACTATTTTATGACGTTAGTAAAACTTGCTATTCTAATTTAGTTTGTATTTTATTTCACTGGTCTATTATTTCTGTATTATGGTAAAATGGAAGTATTACAATGAAATAAAGGAGTGTTGTGGGAAACCTAATGCTCTTATCCATTTTCTACTCAAAATTTCTACAAAGTATTTGATTTTAAGAGAAATGTACATCCTAAGATTTACCACTTAGAAATTAATTGACTTTGGAGGGTCTGTCTAGTCTTAGGTCTAGATTCAACTTCCACACTGGTGGAAAATCTTTTTATATTTCAAAATATTTTAAAGGATTTTTTAAAAAACATTTTGACCTACAGACTTACCTGGCTACAGGTAATATAACATCATATCTTCAAATTTTACAGCTCTTATGAGCATCTACTGAAGTTTATATTAAGTGAAGCAAAATGACACCTAAAAGAAGGGTTAGACAAGTTAGAATCTTTTCGCAGAATGATAGTTTACTCAACATGTATTCATTTTTACCCATTCTCTGGCATTATGTATATTCACTGTAATATATATAGAACAACACTAAGAATTTCACAGAAATTGAAATTCACCAATCAAATTATCACCATCATAATGCTAATAGCTTTTAAAAAAAAAAGCCCTGAGAATTCTGGTAGTGGGGAAAGAGCTTGAGTGAGATAAAGGGTTTTTGGGAAATGAGGTATAAGACTAGCCTTAGCAAAGACCTTTTGACGGCAGTCATATGGATGAAAGCCATATGTGACTGAGGGTATGGCTACATGAAACGCTTGCTGCAGAGTAGACCAATTAGTTGCACAATAAACTTCATGTGTCTACATGTGTGCCCCTATTAGGATGCAGTAGACTAATTAACTCCACAGTAGGATAGTACTTGTAAGTACAAGTACTATTCCACTGCAGAAGTTTTTTTTTTGTGTTTACTCTGCAGCATTGCACATGTAAGATGCTGCCCCAGATGGCTGGGGTATGAGGGTGCTTCAGTGTGAAGGCCATCTGCTGGCTAGCCTCACACTGGAGCACCCTTGTGCCCCAAGCCAGCCCCACCATAGCATGTTGAGCTGGGGCGGGTGACAGCCCTGAGCTGGCAGGTTGGCCCCCTGGGTTCCCTGCCAGCTGGACCACTCTGACCCAGCTTAACATGCTGCAGTCCCAGGCACATGTTCAAATGGCATGCCTAGGAGCAATAAACTCTCGAGCAATAATCATTATAATATATAGGGAAGAGTTGTGTCAGGATAGGTAATAGAAATCTATTGCAAGCCAATTGTGCTGATGACACAATCCAGATCCGTTTTTGTTAAACATTCTCACGAGAGGTGGAGTTCAGTACATTCATTACTCTCCTGGGGTCCATATAAGCTCCAAAAGGCTAAGCAACAAGCTTTTCATCATTTACTATTTTACATAGAACAAAGTCCAGTCCTACTACATAATCCTAATCATACCAGTCCTATCTGTCGCTGAATAACCTTCTGAAAAGGGAGAACAAACGGAGAAGAACAATCCTCATAGTAAGTCCATACATTATTTTTTAAACCAGGTATATATTATAAAATGCAACAAACTATTAAAAAAGAAAGACAATCCAAAGTGTTTGCATGCTATTTTAGGGAAATGCATCATTTTTCCATTTATGTTGTTAAATGAGCTAAATTACAGAAAACTAAATGCCCAGAGCATTTAAATGGGATATCAATGAAAGACCCATGAAGATCACAGATACAAGTAAGCGTATGTACTTCTAAGAAAATGTGTTGCTGTCAGTGATATACTTGATTCAATTGTCAGCTTAAATCTAATATACTCTTAGTTAAGTGTTGATTAAATTACATTTCTTAAATAGATAAAAATGCATTCTGAAGATGAAGCAAAGCCCGATAGAAAAGATGTTGCTGTACTACATCAGGACAGTGAATCTGAAGACAAATGGTAAATATTATTGTGAAATATTTTATCGTGTTTATTTCTAAATATGTAGGTTCAATTTGTATATTTAAAAGTACTGTATTTACATAACTTGCATACTTTCTTGTTTACACAAATCTTTTGAAATCTATTATAATCCTTCACTGGTGTTTCCTTTTAAACATATCCCATGAGGAAAAGTCTGTCCCAACAGTGTAAGGCTTTGCATGTACCTTACCAACACTAGTACAAGCAGCGGGAATGAGAAAAAAAAACGTTATCATTCTGCTCCTTATTCTTACCATGAAGATGTACTAGTTATATCCACTACACTAAGGAAAAACTAAAATAGTACTAGAGCTGAAGTTGTAGTTGACAATGGGCAGCTAAGGCACATATGCTGAAATCTTAACTTAGGAAAATGGCTTTAGTTGGGGTGAAAAACAGGGTCAAAGATCAGCCCTTATAGCATAAGTACCAACTACTGTATACTCCTTAACTCTGTTTCACAAAACTGTGCACTCTGGTAAAAAAAAAAAAAGCATTCTGTAAGCTAAGTAGAAAGTTGCATATGTCTCAACTCAGCCTCCTGTGTCACAAACACATGTAAAGTCCTCAAATACATTAGAAAAGGCTTTGTATACAACCTCACCTGGGATTAACACAATCAGGAAATGGTACAAGTGGTTGGGGGGTTGGAAGTAGGAGGGGGGAGAGGGGAGTGCCTTGTTTACTCTAGCACAGGCCAACTGTATCGGACCTGGTTTTGAGGCACCAGCTCTTGTTTGGCCCTTTTGGGCACTGGGCCCCCGGCCCCTATCTGCTTGTGCCCCTCCCAGGCCCATCTGCCTCTGCGGCCTCACTCTGCCCACTCCCTGGCAGGGCTCAAGGCAACCACATGCCCCATAGGCACTAATGGGACCTCCATATATTGCCTTTACTGTCCCAACCAAAACCACTGGTATAAAACTAACAAACCATACGTCCCCAGGCTATACCATAAAACCCAGAAGGGGAAGCAGCCCTCTGCCCCTTTAAGAGGAAGACATTCCCTCACTGCACAGCTAGAATAGCCCAGGGCTGGGAGGTGGGACCTCATCTCCCAGCAAGCTGCTAGTGCCTTACTGGGGATCCATACACAGCAGCACAGTCCCTTCAGGGGCCCAGCTGCCAGGAGCTGTTCCCCCTGTGGCTGCCAGGGAGAAACTAGCTTGCTAGCCCCCGCCTCAGACTTCTACCTTCCCAGGGCCCTGCCCTCCTCCTGTCAGGACACTGCCTGCACCCCCTGCACCCTGCCTGGTTTGCAGAGCTCCCTCCCTAGGCTGCTTCTTCCTTAAAGGAACAGAAAGCCCCAGGCTTGGGTACGCAGACCAGTAAGATTTCAAGATATATTGTCCTGTCAAGTTCATATATTTCAAAACATTACCAAAGCTGCGTGTCAGCCTTATCTACGCTAGGAAGAGTTTGTTAGCATATATGTATCACTAAACTCCTATGTTAGATGAAGCTCACACCAACAAAAATTTTCTTTTGTTGGTAGAGATTGTATCAGGTTCCTGAATGCAAGAAAAGATTATTTTGCTGGAAAAAATATCTTTACACTGGCACTACTGGTACTATAGTTATGTTGGTGAGGTGTCCAATTTATTTGGATCCCAGATTCCCAACGACACTGAGATACCTGCAAAACTAAGTATAGAACAAGTGTTTCAGAGTTTATGTAATCTGAAAGACAGGCCAAAAAAAAATCTTAATTTCCTTTCAGATGAAGAACAACTGTGTTGATATGTTTGGCTCATTATATATTTTATTAAAATAATTAAAAATCATGCATTTTCAGCAGCGACAAGAAGAGCCCAAAGAAACCAGATATGGTCAGCCCATTAACAATGGTAAGAGCTGTTCTATTCAAGTTTCATGATATAAAACACAAAACACTGCTAAATCAATTTTCCAACAGATTTGCATGGCCTTTTCCATGCTAGGAATGCTTCTTCCTATGCCTGAAGAAGGGTGTTTGTGCCCAAAAGCTTGCAAAGAACAATTTTCCAAATATTTAGTTGGTCTAATAAAAGCTATCACATATACCCAAAAACCTTCTCTGTCCTTAGAGCTCTGCTAGTCAAGGACTGCTGGTGGAACTGCATCGATACAAGGGTTTGTTAGAAGAGCTGTGTCAGGGTAAGAAGGGTCTTTTTACACCCCTATGCTGGCAGAACTTCGTAATGTAGATGAAGACATAGAAAAATGGTATAATTAGAAGGGAGGCCGCTTTTGCCAGTGTAGCTTATCCAGCCCTGCCCACCTTCTCAGGCAAAACAAGTTACATATGAAAAAAATGCAGTTTTGCTCGTATAACTTGGTTTACATTAAGGTCTATTCCCAGGATAATTATCTGCATCTATAACAAGGGGTTATATTAGAGATAGTTACATCTATCAGAGCTTATATCCCACCCTATGCCTAGCTAACATCTACACTGGCAAATCTGGCTTGGACCCAAGTTTTACTGACATAACTCTGCCAGTTACAATTATATTTATGGATATAGAGAAATACAGAATCAGAGAGAAGAAAGCCTGGAAGGGACCTCCGGAGGTCATCTAGGCCAATACCCTGCCTGAGGCAGGATCATTCCTATCCTAACCAACCTATACAAATCCACTGTATAACCTATTAGCAAAACAGTCAACCCTGAGAAAGCCACAAGAATTTGCTGACAATTATTTTGTCAAAATCCTTAATATAGAATGCAGTTATTTTGGTAAAAGATGCCTTGTTTTTTCATTTCGTTACTACTGTGTTTAACCACTACACGTTATGTTGGTGTATAAGCTCATACTGGTATAGCGTGGCAGAACTTTTAAGGCTAGGTCTACATAAGAAACTTTTGCCAATATGGCAATGTGAATCAGTGGTGTAATATTTTGCAGTCTTTTTCTACGATTAAAAGCCCTAGTGTAGGCACAGTTACATCAGCATAAAGGCACTTTTGGTTTAGCTTATACCGTGTTCGCAAGTAAAATAAGTTACACTGTCAGTAAACATTAGTTTTATAATATAAGCTGCATTGAACTCTGCTAGTAGGCGTTACCAATACAGCAATACTGGATTAAGAACAGTGCCAACATTTTTTAGTCTCCGCTTTTTTTGTTTTGGTATAAGTTTAGAAAAACATTAGTCAGAATTTTTTAAACAGCTACCTTGAAAGAAAACAAGATCATAAACTGCATTTAGCTCATTCATATGTCCTTAAGCGTATAGTGAGACATAACATCATGGTATATAATATTAATGACTGCTATTTAAGTTCTCCTTCAAGAGTAACAAGTGTTGGCACCCAGTGAACAATAGCATTAATTCAAAGGGAAGTTTACAGCATTGTCATATTTCTTTTCAGTAGGCAGGTTATAAAATTCACAAACACTTGCACAGTTTTATGTGATCCCCATTCTTCTGTGTAAACCACAGTATATATTTACTAGGCGATTAAATGAAAAAAAGTGAAGTGAGTTCACTCACCAAGTTAGGGATTTCAGATAAAAACATGATTTCATCTTTCACTTTGGATTAGCTTGTTTTTATGTGTTTGCATCAGTTCTTACATTATTTCAATATAATTGTAATAATTATTTTTAAATGGTTTAAACAATATAATTGATTAACAGTAGGAGTTTGAATGGCACAATGATGGGTATGGTATATAATAGCCAGAAAGAGGGTTTTGCTGAATATTGCAAAATATGGACCAAATTTTACTTTTTGAAAAATGACTCCAAAACATATTAAAACAAAAGTTACTTTTCTGTTTTGAACATTGAGTGCAATATAGAACTGAGTTCCACTACTTAGTATTATTCTGAGTGCCCAACGTCCTGGTACAATGAACAGGGCCAATAAAATCAATCCCAATCAATAATCCTAATACACAGTCATGTTCGTTTCAGTTAGACAATGTAATCTTAATATAGCATATGCTATTATGTTAATAAAATTTCAGCCTCAAGTGCTGAAATAACTTTTTTTTTTAATTTATTGAAAAAGCTTTATACCAGTACAATATCAATTAACACAGTGTTGTTACACTAAATGTTAAAGCCAGTATCTTAGAATGCTGAATCATACATAGTGCTCTAAATCAGTGCTTCTCAACCTTTTTTGTACCAGGACCCATCTGTAAATATCAATGGCCAGTCCCAGCCCAGTGACCCTCACACTCAACCAAACTGCCGCCAGGCCCTAGCCCCTCAGTGTCTGGGGCAGGGGGTGGGTAAGTGGGACATGGGGGGCCCCCAAGCAGGCCCTCACAGGCTGGAACTCTGCCAGCCTTCAAGGGAAAAGCCATAGTTCCCCATGTATGTTTTTCTCCTTTAAAGGAGAATCCATTTTTAAAGTTTGTTGATCCATTTTTAAAGTTTGTTTGCAACCCTTTCATATAGTCTTGTGACCCACTTTTGGGATGAAAAAATGCTACTCTAAATCACATGTAGCATCTGACCCAAAGTCCACTGATGTCAATAGAAAGATTTCCTTTACTCCAGCAGCCTTGCAAACACCAGAACATGGGCATGATTTGTACAGTGAAATGCATTAGTGGCTCTACTTCTCAAAAAAAAAAAATCACACTGAAGTTTGTCTTTGGGAATTCATAAGGTAAAATATGCAACAGACAATTTACAAATGGTTTTGTACTGCTGTTGTAGTACAATAGTAATTTCTATGTTTAGAAATTGGTAAGAGTTTAAGTGGTGCAACTTCTTTAGAATGGACACAGTTATACCAGTAATTAAGGGTTCATATCATGTCTAGAGTAACATGGTTAAAGTGATATGAAAACTTTTCTTTACTTTTTGTAATCTCTTTGAATTTTTAATGGTGATAATATTTTTTAAAGCAATTAATTAAAAAGAAAATCAGCTTTTGCTTCTTTTTCCATTTTCAGTTTCGGTATTCAGATTGGTTGGATAAATTACTAATGGGACTAGGCACTGTCATGGCAATCCTTCATGGCATCAGTCTCCCACTCATGATGATAGTCTTTGGAGACATGACAGATAATTTTATTAATCCAGGAATTGAATTAGATCCAGGTAAGAAATCTTCTGCTCTTTAGTTGGTGATGTTTGAATTTAGCTTGTATTGAGAGAACAACTGGATACATTAAAATAAAAGTAAAAGCCAGAATTTCTCTTTCACGTCAGGGTATTGTATCCCAAACAGTCAGTTCACTCCTACTGATAAACCAAGTTCATTCCTGGTCCAGTGACTACAGTTCAGATATACCAAAGATTATTTTTGCCCCTTTTCAAAGTTTCTATCCAAGTAAAGTTCCTCAACTACAGTTCCTAAGATATTAAAAAACACCCCTTTCAATGGCATGATTTCTGCAGAATTGGTGTTGCCTTTTAAGTGCCACAGAATAAAAATGTTGTGAGCTGTTGATTATGGGATTAAAGAGAGAAGTGGATGAAAAAAGTTGTAAAATGAAGACACTTGTTATATGGAAGAAGAACATGCAAAATGCATATCTAATACCTCAAAAAAGGCAGTATGAATGACAAAACAACTATTAATATGAAGCATATATTAAAAGCCATATTTTGTCATAGAAAACCAGGCAGGTATGATACTCAAGCACTATTTATTATATGTTTTTTTAAATGTATGCAGTGATATACATTTCTATAGTGCTATAAAGAAAAGTTTTCAATCTGAAGTCCAGTTCTGTATAGCATACCTCTACTATCATAAGAAAAAAAAAATCAGAATAAAGACACCTGAATGTGTTACAGTAAGATAAAGTAGGATGAGAACTTAGAACACATCAGCTATGTTGAGGGTATGGACAGGTGTTACACATCTGTTGCAAAAAATTTATCCTTGCCAAAAAAATCCCCAATGTATAGGCATTCAAGCAGTTTGTGGTGGAAAAGTACTAAGATTCTGCCGCAAACTATTAGGTCTTTAAAAAGAAACTTCACTGTTTTCTAGCACCACCTGTAACGCCTGTTTAGTTACAAGTTGTATGATGGGGGTCCCTCAGACAAATCCAACAATTCTCCATCCTCCCTCTCCTCTGCCAAAGGTGAAGAAAGGAGGGAGAGTACCTGGCTCCCTGATAAGCTATCCACTGATGAGTTGTCAGTCCAATCTGCAAGGATGCTGCTGCCATGGTTGCTTGAGCAGCCCCAGGACTTCCAAGGTTGGTCAAGCAGTGGCAATGATTTCTGCAGCCACTTGAGCAGCTCTGGGACTCAGGGGTGCTCAAGCAGCATCATCAATTCCCAATGCCCTTTTAACAGTCCTGGGACTGTTCAAAGGGCACCAGGAATGCATCAGAACAGCCCTGATTTTTTTGGTACATTTGTATTGTTCCTGGCTTGTCTACATGTAGCTATTGTAACCTACAGCAGCTGTGCAGTTCAAAGCAAATGTTCCCCTACCACTTTAAAAAGGCTCCAAATGTATGCGTCCATACCTTGAGGTAACTTTCTATTTATAAGCTCTTGCCTCATCTAAATGAGAGGTAGGTCACATCATTTTCATTAGGGATACGCTACTTCAAATATAGTATGAGATACAGCAGATACCACATTGCCTGCCAAGTAGATGACACGGTACAGACAGAAGCGACATTTGTTGCATAATCAGTCCCTTGAAACTGCTCTGAAGCTGTGCCCAAACAGAAGAGCATGGCTGCAGACCCTCTTCTGGCACAGCAAATCAACTCTCACTGTAAGAGGGTTCAAATGAAGCAACTCCTAATTGGAGTGACTTAATTTCTGTCTGCTTTGCCTGCAGCACAGGGAGCTGCAACTACCATCTCTGGAGGGGAAAGGAAGAAGGCACGGGAGGAATGTCCCTTCAGGGGTTCTCTCAGCCCCACTAGAGTGGGGATGGGGTGGTGGATTGGAGCCTTTCACCTCAGGGGGGCTCCAATCAACCCCCACCCCCTATGCGAGTGGGGCTGAAAAAATCCCCAAATATCTCTCCCCTGCTTTCCCTGCCTCCCCCCGCACCCCATCCAGAGGCAGCAACAGAGCTGGGGGTGGGCAGGAGGGTAGGGAGAAGCCAGGGGAAGATGCAGATTGGAGCTAATCCTCCACCCTCCTGATCCAATAGCTAACATCTGTTGAAGCAGAGGGATGGGATTAAGTCACGGCAATTTCTATGAATCACAGGTTAAACCTTGGAGCTGTAATTCTGTCTGCACCCATAGTGAATTTATTCCCTAGTTTATCTTGCTGTAACCTGTTCATGTATCCAAACTCTAGCACTGTGTTTGTTATAAGCTTTCTTTCTTCATTATGATATGAAGGCCTCTGATATAAAACTTGGGGTTCTTTTTCCCTCATGGAATTGTATAAAGTGTTTACAGGGAACACACATCCAATACATTTTTATGATCAGGTGTGAAGTGCTAAGACAAAGAGCTTGTCTGCACATGAAAATTTAAAATTACATTCTACCTTAGTGTTAAGTGACTAGCTAGTCTTCATTAACTAGAATGGGTCTAGCCACCACCACCACTGTCACTGTCCTCAGATAGATTTCTGGAGTATTTATGCAGTATTTGGGCTTCTATTTATAAAATGCTTTGCTTCATTTCCGAATGAAAAGAGCCATGTAAGTATATTTAATTCTTGTTAAAAATAATGCGCATTCTTCACATGACAAGCAATATTTTGATCTAAATTAAACTGTAGTTCTTGGGTAACTAAAAACAGAGTTTAGTATTATATTTTTACTACCACTTATACTAGAGATAAAATTCTGAATGTTTAACCTACCACCATAAACTTAAAAAATGTTGTACACCTTTGACTCTCACTGAAGTCAATTGGAGCCTATGCTATTTAAAACCTGTCAGGGTATGCTGAGCACCTTGGGGAATTAGCAGTTTATTGAATGAAGTTATTAAAATGTGCTTTATTGAGAAGTATTTAATGGGTTTTTTCCCCTTCTATATTTCTTTCAGGGAATTCTTCTTTGGGAAATATTTCTGCAGGGAATTACTCTAGATATAAGAACCTGGAGGAAGACATGACTAAGTATTAAGCTTTTTTAGTTATCTCCATGACTGGTTTTCTTTTAAACTGTGATACAGGATGTTCAAACCATCCTTTTCCTAAAAATAACTGTGTTTAAAACAATGAAATAAACATTTAGCTAGGACCTAAATGAACGTCAGTCAAACTTCTACACATCATGAGAGGGCTGCACCCTTTGTTCATTTGTTAGGCTGCACTCATTGCACACTGCTGGAGAAGTCTTCCATTTCTCTATTCTTCCCTGAGCAAAGTCTGTGGACACTACCCTCCTACTCTCTTCTGTTGCATGGAGTCCCCGCAGCTCACTACCAATTTCCCTAATAGCTAGGACTCTTTTTGCCTACCCATATCAGGTTGTATGCACCTTTGTTCTCCCCTTCCTCACCATGCTGGTATCTCCCATTCTCTCACCCCTACAAAAGACCATCTGTGCCTGCAATAACATGTTTATCCAAAATGTTATTATTTCCTTTCTTTCTTCTTATTGCCCTTCTTTTTATTGCCTGTCTTTGTAAATGTACCATTAAAATGGCCAGAACTTAAATGAGGGGGAATTTTATGTTGTAAAGTGTCAATGGCTATTATCCACTAGTTCCTTAAAGTTCAATAGTGAAAAATATCAGTAATAGAGTTACACTTGTCCAGTGATATCTCATGCCCTTCCAGAACATCTTGTCCATCAAGACTAATTTATGTTATAATCTCCATTTTACTCCCTCCCTATCCCTCCTTTAGTTAGTGCTTCCCAGTTATGGCCTTAGCCCTCCTAGCATCTTTTCCTTTACCTCTGATCATTTCTTCCAATACAAGCACAGGTGGTATGTACTTTAATTTTGTATTTCCTGGTTTTCAGCGATTTAGCTTTGGATTATTTTATTTGTCCCCATCCACATCACCTTTTCATAGAATGAAATCAGGTTGGTCTATCATGACTTGCTTTTGACAAATCCTGTTAACTATTCCTGACCATTGTGTTATACTTCAGGTGTTTAGAAATAGATTCCTAGATGACATTTTCCATGTTTTTATGGGTATCAAAGTCAGATTGATTGGTCTGTAATTCCCTTGATCCTTCTTCCCTTTCTTAATGATGGGCACAACATTTACCCTTTTCTACTCATCCAGGACCTTACCTGACCTCAAACAGAATAGTGAATGGCTCCACAATTACCTCATTCATTTCCTTGAGTATGCTACAATAAATCTTATGCAGCACTGCTGACTTGAAAACATCTAGCTTTTCCAAGTAATCTCTTATCTATTTTTCCCATCCTCTAAGCTGCTCATTTCCCCTCCCACCCTTGTTGCCACTTGCGTTTGCCACCTGTAACAGCCTGCAGGTTGGAACAGGAGATGTAGGGGGATGATTTTGGAGGGTGACACCAGGATGCTCCATTTACTTGAGGAAATGTGCGACAGCTCTGAACAGACAATGCACCTCCCCTAGACTTGCTTCCGAGGGATCTAGCCCACTGGTTCTCTGCGTTTGATAAACTCTGCTTTTAGGAAGTTTGGTGTCTTTATTCTACTGCTCTCCTTTATTCCTTTCCTGAAGATCCTCTGCCATTTCATCATCACTACCACCCAACCTGCCTCTAGTGGATCAATTCCTCCCTGTTTGTGAACAGTAAATGGAGAAAAGCTTCCTCTTGGTTGATCTTTTAACCACTTTTAACAAACGCCACATTCCAAGAACTTGCTGGACTGTAAAAAGTCTGCCATAAGCACCAAATCCTGCAATCTGGATTGTCTGAAAAAATCCTTGTCCACCTCCTTCTCCTGGCTTGGTGGTCTATAGCAGGCACCCACTATAACCTCACCATTACTGTTTTCCCCTTACACCTTGGTAGCAGCCATCTGTAATATACACTTCGCTCAAACTCCCTTGCCATTACTTCAATTATGCATTTTTATGGCCTTAGCCTTGCCTGCAAGGGCACAATAGGACACATTCTCCCTTCCTAATGACACTACCAGCAAAAGTCTCCAGTTCAAATGCAGTGGACACACACATGTATACCGTGGAACAAATGCATGCACAAACCATCTTCAAGAACAGAGGCAAGAAATCTTTTTCTCCAGATGTTTTTATTTTCTTCTCTCCATCTATTTTTTGCTGTATTTCTTCTTCTTCCTGCTGCTCTTCACAATTTTTCCAGTTTTTCTCCCCTTTCAAATTCTTCCCCACCCCTGCTTTTCTGTTTTCTTTCAAAGCCTTTTTTTCTCCTCCTTCCTTTTCCAGGTGCCACCCATAACACCCCACCTGGAGATTTTGTTCTGTGTACAGTGTTGACATATCTCTTCAGCACAGACTTTGATCTTTTCACAGGCATCGCACATGTCATTACATTTTTCAGAGATTATATTCAAATGGACAACCACCACTAGCAGTAGTAGGCATGTCTGGGCTTGTCCCCAAATAGCAACATACTATCAGAAATATTAAAAATTATATCCCTGTTAAATACTAAATGCACTCCCTTTATAAGTTTTCTTTATTTTATATAGATGGTGCTTGCAGGAAAATATTTTTAAAAGGAATGCAGGAGAAGATTTAATTTCCTTATGTATGTAGGTAGGAACTTTAGTCTGTGCATTTGTTAGTTTTCAAAGGAGACCTTGTTTTGAGCCCCTGTTGCTGCTGACAACACCTAACAGTACAAATAATAAGTGGTAATAAAAAATAATTTGCAGGAGCAGAAATATCAATTAACACCAAAATTAAATGAATGACTACATAATCATAAATACTGTTTGTTTGTTTTTGTCAAATAAAAGAGGTATGCCTAATATTCAGCTATTTTTCAAAGCATTTATTCCTGAATAGTTTAGTTGCAGGCAATTCGTTAACTTTCACCATTGATTTTTAAAATATATTTTTGTTCAGTAAGGAATTTCACAGTTAAAATTTATTCTATGTTTTGTCAAAAAAAACCCAAACTGTGGTTATTGGCAATCCCTCATGGTCAAGGATGATCACTTCCCACAGGGTCAAGTAAAGGGTAGTAAATGAGTCCGTTGATGACTAAAAAGGTCAATCCTAGAACCACAGGTGGTTAAAGGGAGGGTTGGGCCACAGACTTCTCAGTCGTTTCCTTTCCTTCTATTTCTGTTATTGTTCTGCCTCCAGGGAGAGACTGTTTTCCTCAAAGAAAGATTTAATTCTCTCACAAGGTGTCACCATATAGCTCTATCCTGGGTTAGTCTTTCCCAATTTGTGATGTGAGTTTCTTAATGTTCACTTTGAGGGTGTCCTTGAAGTATTTCCTCTGGATCCCGTGTGTCCTTTGTCCTTGGCTGAGTTGGGAGTATAGCAGTTGTTTTGGTAAACGTACATGAGGCATGCGCGCACAATGCCCAGTCTGCTATAGCTAATGTTGAATAATCAATGCTTCTATATTGGTGGTGTTCATTTGGTGAAGACACTGGCATTTGAGCAGTGATCCTCCCCCTTTATACCAAGGATCTTCTGGAGGTAGAGCTGGTGAAGGCATTCCAGATTTTTCAGGTGGTCCCTGTAGGTCACCCAAGCTTCAAAGCCATAGAGAAGAATTTGGGTTACCCCAGCGTCGTATAACATTGGAGCTTTGTTTGAGTCCTGTTGTCATCATCGTTGAACGCATGATGATACAGTCTCCCAAAGACAGAGCTGGCACATTGGATCCTATATTGAATCTCTTCATCTATGTTGGCCTTCTCTGAGGAATGGCTGCCAAAGTACAAAAAGTGTTGAACATTCTTCAGCTCCTGTCCATTGATAAGGATCCCCTTTGCCAGGGGAGTTGATTGGCCTGGAGCAGGCTGGTGAAGCACCTTTGGTTTTTCCCATGTTAAGGGTCAGTCCCAGGCACTGGTATGCTTAAGAGAAGCAGTTAAGGGCTATTTGTAGGTCCTCAGTATGAGGAGCAACAGCACAATTATTGGCATACTGAAGTTCCACAATCAAGACCAACGTAACTTTGGTTTTGGCATGGAGGCAGGAGAGATTTAAGATTCCTGTCATCCTGTACTTGATGCCAGTGCCATGTGGCAGACTGTCATGAATGAGTATAGATGACTGCAAGAAAGATGGATTGCAACAATTCTGTTTTCAAACCCTGCTTGATGCCAGTTTGAATGGCAAAGGGCTCCATAACTGAGTTATTACATAGGATGAAGGCAGTCATATGGTCATGAAGGAGTCTTAGAAAGGTGATAAATTTCCCTGAGCAGCCAAACTTCGATAAGATCTTCCATACAGTCTCAGGGTTCACAAGAGTCGAAGGCTTCGGTTCAATTGGTAAAGGCCACATAGTTCTCAGTGTTGTTCTCAGCAATTTTCCTGGATCTACTGGGCTACAAAAGATTATGTCCAGGGTCTCTCGATGTTCTGAAGCCACAGAGACTCGAGAAGGATTTTCTCAGCAAGACGAAGCAGTTGGTTCAACAGAAATCAAGTAAGGATCTTCCCAGAGATGGAGAGGAGGGTAGTACCTCAATAGTTTTGAGTCAGCCTGATCTCCCTGCTTAAAAATGGTGACAGTACTGGCATTCCGTAGGTTAGTGGGAATTTCCTCAGTGGTCCAGATTTTAAGAAGCTGTGTGTGCTGCTTGTTGGTCAGTTTCCCCACCAACTTTGAAGATCTCAGCTGGTATGCCATGAGGGCCAGATGCTTTGTTGTTCTTAATCTGTTCCATCACCTTGTGGACAACTTCAGAAGTTGATATACTGGCAAGTGCTTCCCTTATTGGAAGCTGCAGGATGGATTTGAAGGTTTCATCAGTCACTGACTATTCCTGGTTCAGGAGCTGTTGGTAGTGCTCCTTCCAGTGGTTAGGATGGACTGGTTGTCTTTAAAGGAGCATACTGCTGTCTTCAGATCTAAGCAGGGTAAGTCTGCAAGAACTTGGTCTGTATGTAGCCTTAATTGCACTAAAGAAGCTCTGCATGGCATAATTGTCAACTAATATTTGGATTTATTTTGCTTTTTCTTTCCACTATTTGTTTTTCATTTTTTTAA